AACTGTGCAAAAAGCTTTTTCTGTTCCTTCTCTTGCTTTAACGTTAGGCATTCTTTTTTTTTTTTTTTTTTTTTTTTTTTTTTTTTTTTTATTTTTTTTTGTACAATGCATCTAAGGTCTTTCCCTATTATTAAAACAATCATTAATCTAATCGGTTTGAATCACACATTAAATATTTCAGCCTGAAGGTATGCTTGTATTTTTTGCAAGGTTGAACACCCTCTTACAGTGTATTCATCTATCCAGAAGGTTGTTCTGCAAACGATTTTTTAAATTTAATAACTAAATCTCTGCAGCAAAGCAGCTTCTCTGTTTCTACTTGTATTTTGTGCAAATGAGAATAACTACAATAGAAAGGCATACCTTCTCCCTTGGTTGCTATGAATGTAACAAGGGAGATTACTAAATAAAAATGAACAAAAGAAAATCTGAAGTTTGGCGTCTCAGCTTCAACAAAAAGTCATCTAAATGTTTTAGTGCAATAAAAATTTGAAAATGCATTCATAAAAATATTTTATCCAGCAGATCTCTTTCGCACATTTGTTTCAAAGTGCAATTTTCAGTTGTTTCTTTTTTGATTGTTGCCGGGGTTTGGGTTTTTTTGGTGTTTTTTTTTTTTTTTTTTTAATTTATTTTTTCCTTTTTTTCCTTTTTTTTTTTAACAAAAGGAAGAATATTATGCTCAGCTGCATACTTTTAAAATTGTTATTACAGTCTAACAATGAAGCTGATCCTGTAAAGTATCTCCCGTGAGGTTGATGGGGGAAAAAAAAAGACTCAGCACTTCTCAAGGTCAAGTCTGAAGACAGTTCATGTCTTAAAATGTTTATAGGATGAACTGTTTCTTTACAATGTTTTCAGAGACTACCAAGCTGATCACAGTGATGGAAGCATAGAAAGACTACATTATTCTGTGATGGTGGTGGAGGTAAGAAATAGTAATGAGAAAGAGGCACCAGGAATACCTTGGTGACAGCAAAACTTGTTTCTGCAAATTGGAATCTTTATTTTGGATGCACTACATATACATGATTCATACCATGGGATATTGGTTTTCATTCAACTTGATTGTTTCAAATGAAAGAGCTTTAGATAAAGTTTTTTACTGTAGTAAATACTTTTCTCAGCTTAATCCTGCTGCCTACAACTAATGAGATGAAAAATCCAAAATGCTTCCAAGGCAGCTTACCTGGACATTGTCTGCTTTATTAGTTTTAATCGGAGCTGTATTGGGTATCATGAAGGAAAAGGCACAGCTTTCCATGTATCATAGCCAAGAAGCTGACATGTCTCATGCCTTTCTCTCCCATTAGAGACATGCTATGCCTCCAGATGCTGGATTCTGGATTTAGGGGCATATACTGCTCTTGCACAAATAAGACTTGCATATGTTACGAGTTAATTCCATTTTGTTGTGTTCTCCTGCACATGGCATTTTGAAACAGTTAAGTGGAAAATATTTTTAGTTTGCCATCTTGTATTGAAATATTCTTGCATTATTAAATACAATCTAAATCCGTAAGTGATACGTTCTATGGCTAAAATGCACAAATGCCTAACATGGACAAAATGCTCATGAGGGAACTGCAGAAATTCAGATAGCGTCTCCATGTATTGTATTTTGCATGTGTGTCTCAGGCAGCTAAAAAGTATGCCAAAAATATACCGCTTATTTGCTTCACAGCTGAGCTTCACCAAGCTCACAGTCCTAGGCACTTTATGTTTGGAAAACAGGGGATAAAGAATAAATAGGCTTCACAATTTTATTGTGGGCATCTATTTTAGATGAAATATATGAGATAGGCACCAATAAAAAGAAGAATGTGGCTCCTGAGAGTGTGCCAGAGTCTAATACTTGGATGTTGTGAAGGCTCCTCAAAGGCAGCCCCTTAGTGGAATGGCTTACTGAGCTCACCGTGAGACCTATCTGTATTACTGTGCAAGTGTGATGCCTAACGAAGCATAATGAATACAAATATCCTGGAAAGGCTCATTGCAAGAAGCAGTACAGTATATTCACAGCACATTGATGAGGCTACATTTGGTTTGGGGAAAATAAAATGAATTATCCAAATAAATCTATTTGTCTCCATAAGGTACTCTGCTTGGACTGTTTTTAAAGATACTGCAGAAGTTGTCTAATTTTTTAAACATCAGTAGTGTCAATGGCTCCAGAAAACTTAACATAATTTCCTGAATATGGTCATATCTTTGAAACAGCTACGATTTCATCTTTTGTGATCCTCCTCTAAATTAAGCTAATATTTTTAAAGGAAATCTAGCTTGCTATTTTTAATTTTTTTTTTTTTCATAAGCTAAAACGTCAGAATCTAAAATGATCATTTCAAAAAATGGTTACTTTGTATTTGATTTCTCCTCCTCGGTATCAGTTATTGGCGTTATCTTATATTAACCACTGAGGGCTACAATGCAGCTATGCCTAAAAAATTACAAAAAGCTACATGTGATTTTTTGCTGTTTCCTACAGCTACTATTCATTAAGGTTCCAACCCCGCAAATGCTTCTATTCGAGCAAATTGCCGTGAACGCAGACAGGACTCTGTAAAAACACAGAAGTACTCCCACGTGAAGCAAGTGAAATGAATAGAGCCTGAGCTCCTCGGGGTGATGAATATCATTCTCTCCCGAATACTCGCTAGTTCTGGCTTTCTGCTCTGAGTCTAGAGCTCATCACGCTGTAAATCACAGGCATATATACCTGCAGAGTAGGTGACATAATCCCAGCAGCTAGTAAAACCTAGATACTGTGTAGATGTTTATTTATGCTTGGTGCATTCATCTATGCATATGTGTCTTTTTCTCATTCCAGAGCTGAGAAAATTAGAAGTGGCGAGGAATATACACTGCAAGCTGCATTTTCCTCATTAATGTGCAAAAGAGGTGATGAAGATTAGGAACTTATCACGCTGCTACCAGCCCCCAACAGCAGCAGAATTATGAAATATGCCCCCTGCTGCTGGTCCTAGAAGGGCCCAGGAATGTCAGCCAGGGATGATAAATAGCTCAGGTAATGACAGTTTTTTCTTCTCTACTTTGGTCTTTGTAAAGTAAACCCTCTGTTTATTTGTTCGGTAAGCAGGAGTAAGTCTTAGTGTGAAACATTTGATGCACAAACATCTGAGTCAGCTGCATTTTTTATTCTGGATGATCAAATATCATCATCAAAATATTAACTGCACAGTATGAAATAAGCACTGGTAAAATTTAAAGGGTTTAAAATGCACTTAACCCTGTTTCCATCTGCATCTGTGTGTATTTTGATGGGGGATCCGGTGAAATATCCTTTGTGTAGCTATCAAAATCCACAGTGCAAACTTCATTAAATAATGAAATGAACAATATGAAAAAAAACAAGCCTTTTTCCCTCTATGATTAGTAATTTTAATAGGAGAATTGACTGAGTATAGTGTCTAACTGTCAAGATCTAAAGAAAACAAAATGGAAAACATATTTTTCAGGCATCATTGGCTTGCCTGCACATGCGCTTCAAATACATTTCTAAATACAATTGAGAGATATGGATCATTAAAACACCCTACAAGGATTGAGATAACTGTTTTTTAGGTCAGAGTTCTTAAGCGGAGATAATACTGAAAAGAATTGAGCAGTTGGTAAGTTGCAATGTAACATGCAGATTGGGAAAGAAATGGCATTGTGCAAGATAGTTCAGTCTGCAAATGGATTATCTATTTAAGACGTACGAGCGCACACCATGGATTTGAAGAGAACTTGTTCTGGGGCTTTTGAGTATCTAATGCGGAATGCAGTTTCCCCACAGTTTAAGCTCTAAAAGCATTCCTGAAACATCATCGCTCAGGTGTGAAGCTTCAAGTACATTCACCATTTTAGTATTTCATCAGTTTATTTAAAATAAATAAGAAGCGTAAGATATTTTACTGGCTGGAGTGGGTTGGCAAATCACATAACTTTTAATGATGTAATGCAAAGTTGTAAATCATTTTCAGTGAGGGCCTCATAGTTCAGCACAACTTTTATGTAATATACTAAATTGCTGGCATAGCTTTAAAATTTGTAATACTTGGAGATCATGAAAATTAGAACAGAATCCATATGTATCCAGGAGAAGTAGCTGAAAATATGGATTCGGGCTTAACGTTTTTATAGATATGATGTAGTCTTTAAACCAAAAATTGTGTCTGATAAGTGTTAAACCAATGCACATGTAAACGTTAAAAAGAGTGAACTGGAAGTACACCACAGAAATGCAGTGCTAAAGTTATGTGGTGCACTTTGTGGCAGTGGAATTTCTCAAAAAAGCACCCCTGATTTTCTGGTGAGTCACCAAGAAGACACCGATACACCATCAATTTATGAGTGGTAAATGCAGTTATCAGTGTCTTTAACTAGGCAGGGATTAGGCATTTCTGACAAATCAACCAACCAATTATTCATTCTCTGGGTGAGGATTTTCAGTTAAGGCAACCAAGCATCTCTGAAATGATGCATAATCCCCTGGCTTTATTGCTGCTTGTATCTGTAGGTTTCCATTGCAGCACAGGTATCAAGAGAAATAATTATATTGCCTCCATGGGACTTAAGCAGGGAAAAATTAGGAAAAAGGAAGACTGAAAATAAACATACATCTGTTGTGAATCTGGATTGACTCTAAGGTTAAATAATGATGCCTGCCTTCACCAAATTGCCATGGAAAAATACGAACTGATCATAATTACAGTACAATAAAATCTCGTCCTCTTGCTTTGGTAGGCTCTTGAGTACAATAAAATCTTTGGCTAAAATAAACTGAATTCATATTTGTTAGCTTTCTCTTTGACAGTAAGGAGAACGATCTCAAATGGCATAAATTGCCACCTTTTTGCTGACTTCAGCAAAGTTAGGGCAGTTTACCCCCATCGAAACAGTGGTCCCCAAGTAGGACCGTCTGATTTCCTTGTCCTATGCACACTGCAAATATACGAACTGCACACCAGAAAGAAATGTTTGAGAATTTTACTTACATTCTGGCATTGCTTGAGAAGATGGTGCTTTTAGCCTTCAACGTAAAATACCAAACGAGGCTACAGAAGTCCTAAAGCAAAGAAATTGCGTGCTGGTTCATTCAGGTCAATTTTATATGATCTCTTTTGCCATAAATCGTAAGTTAAAAAAGGAAACAACAACCGCAACCAAAAAAACACAAAGCGAATGCAAATATTAGCCCTTATATGAAAATATAAATGATGTTCCAAACTGCGTTGGCTCCAGATGTTTTTATGAGTTAAACGGTTTACTGTTTTCATATTTAAAACATTCTATTTTTTCACTTGATGTTATAAGCTTTGGGCAAACTTGCTGGCATTGATTTAAATAATGCTTTTGTACCATATGTAGGTCAAATACACATTCTAAAAAGATACAGTATGAACAAGAATCCAACCATTTACATTGAGAGGTAAAAGCTGCTTTACACTTTCTTCAGTAATTATTGCACTGAGAAGCTTTGCACTGGAGCTTTCTTTGAAAAAATCACAAATGTTTACAAAGTATGGCATCACGTAACCATAGTTATCCGATAGCTCCGTTCAGAAACTTTCTGGATTGCTCCAGTAAATGTCTGTTTATTTGCCTCATCATGAGTTGCCTGTGTTTGCATTCTCCTTACATCGTTTAAAATGAAAGCACAACGCTAAATTGAGGTTTGCATTTCCAGTTCTTCTGTGCTTCAAAGCGCTGATGGAAGAAGTGCTAAGAACACTTGATGTGGGACTTGTGTATGTATTGGGGGTCACCAGCGCCAAAGGAAATGCAGCCTCACTTATTCACGTCTGGTTATGAAGCTGATGGCAAAGATGTTGCCGTGCCATTATGGCTTTATTACTGCATTCCTTTTATATTTTTTCTTTTTCTCTTTTATTTCTTCACCTTTTCAAGCCTCTCCTACCTCTCTCTAAAAAGCACGATTTGGCTCCATCTCTTACCTTCTCTTGGAAACCCAATCTTTCTCCCTTCCCCTCTCACCCTCTCGCTTTGCTTCACTTTCTTATTCCCCCTTTCTTATCCCGCGCGAGAAATCTTGTGCGGCCATCCCCTAGAATTAAAAAAAAAAATAAAAAAAATAAAAAAAAATAAAAAAAAGCACTTTCACAGCGCTTTGAGTCCGGGACTTCCCCAGCCCCTTCGCATCCGTGTCGGTGTCAGAGCTCCGGCAGCGGCCGCCCTTGCAGGACGGGTCCCTGCATTCCTTCCCCCCCCCTTCTTCACCCCCGGCCCCCACGACGGCGTCTCGCCCCCTCGGCCGGGGCGGGCGGACTGACAGCAGCAGGTTGGAGAGCCGCGGAGCGCAGCGTTGCCGGGCGGCCGCTCCTCGCGCTCACCTGGGGCCGCCCGCGGCGGGGACATGAGATCGGGGCCGGTGGGGCCGGTGGCCCCGTGCTTTGGTGGCACACCCCGTTGCGGGAACAGCGGCATCACCGCGCCCGCGGCCCGGCGGGTTCGCGGAACCAAGCGCGCTTCAGCCACTGCGATTTCTTTGTACTCTTTTTTTTTTTTTTTTTAATATTAGAGCACATATTGAAACGATAAACACAATGAAAAGCACAAAATATTTCATCAGTGTTGTAACTGTATATTTCCTTTATTCTGAAGAAATATCAAGTTTTGAACAGTGCACAGAGGCAGCGACTTCTGCTTTGGACGCCGCTCTCTTTTTAAAGACCGCATTGTTACAGTTAAATCTAGAGACAATTCTTAAAAAGCATTAGATGACAGAAAAGGGGGGAAAGTCTTACCGTCGAAAGACTGCTGCAGGTTCCAGCTCAGCCTGAAACTGCAGGGAAAAGTGGAGCAGCTGCTGAACAAAAGTTTTAGATTTTTTTTTTTTTTTTTTTCAGAAAGTCTGCAAAACTAATTTCCCACAAAATAGGACTCAATTTCCGTTTAAGAAACCAGCTCTTGCAAATCTCATACAATTCCTGATTTTTTCCAATGGCAATTCAAATTCATTTTATCTTTCGCACATGGACCCAAGAGTTTAGACTGAAAAGGGAGAGCTCTGTGCTTTTTTTTTTTTTTTTTTTTTTTTTTTTTTTTCCACTTTAAGTTTGGTTTGCGGGGAGGAGGAGGAAGGTAGAGCGAGGAGAAAGGGCAAAGGAACTCAGCATTTCAGCAGTGGGCATCGTTTTGAGCAATGATCAATAAGCGCTTTATCCTAGTTTAAACCCACGTACAGCCTTCCTCGGGGTTGCTGCTAATCCCACGACACGCACAGCCCAGGCTGTCCCTCTCCAGGTTGTCCCACGCTAAAGACTGCGACGCAGCAAACGAAGAAGTTGAGCAAACTGCGCTTCTGGAGGGGCAGGGGGCAAGAGGCTACTTGTCTGTGTTCGAACACACGTGGCAGCTCGCTGAGCACCGGGTGTTTAATCGCAGACCCACACACACTGGGGTTCTCCTGTCTTTAAGGCCGAGGTGTGCGGGCAGCCTAGCGCAGCCAAGCCAGGCCATGCCCAGGTGCGCTGAGAGCTCAGGTGGGGCTGCAGCCCCGCGCCCTCCAGGCGTATTTGATTTCGCCCATGTACTGCACCTCGCTCCTGCGCACACTCCGCGGGGTGTCCTTTATCGCTCTCCCTTCTTTCCAGGATGGGAAAGGGGTGGGGAGGGGTGCGGTGATGGCCCCGTGGGGCCCGGCCGCCCCCCGCCTTGCCCCGTATCCGTTCGGAGGGGGGAGCGCACAGCCCCGGCGGAGCGGCGAACGCGCTCCCCGCGTCGAGGGGGAGGAGAAGCGGCCGTTCCCCGCTGGGCCGCCCCCGGCCACCCCACCCCACCCCACCCCAACCCCCCCCGTCGCCGCCGCCGCCGCCCGGGGCGCGCAGCGCTGCCGCCCGCTGCCGGAGCCGCTCGGCGCGGGGATGGCGCTGGCGTTTTGGAGGGAGTTTGCATGTGGTCAGTGCTGTGCCGCTAAGCCAGCCCCCAGCTCACATTACACACTACTGTATTTATAACCTCTCAGAGCCGTTTCCCCCTTCAAGCAGTTCTCTGGGACCACCTTCTATTGGCTTCAAGCTCTCCCACTTCTTGACATCTGAGCAGCTCTGAGAAAGGCTCATCTAGGTCCGAGTGTTTATGCAGCGGAGACTGGCCGCTAGGGCTAAAGACCTGGATTATCTGAGCTCAGTTGCTTGCTGCAAAGTCTGTCGTTGCCGTTTTGGAAAAAAAAATCCCAGCCCCGATCTGTTTACAGTGAAAGTTGACAAAGGGTGGTGAAGTTGGATCCTTCCTAAGCTCTCCTGCCTGGAACCTGAGACTTGCATGCCATGGATCACACACTCTTTGGCTGCCTGCGCAGCCCCCATGCCACCGCGCAGAGCTTGCACCCTTTCTCCCAGTCTTCTCTTGCCCTGCATGGAAGATCCGACCACATGTCCTACCCCGATCTGTCTTCTTCTTCTTCCTCTTGCATAATAACGGGATACCCCAATGAGGAGGGCATGTTTGCCAGCCAGCATCATAGGGGGCACCACCATCATCACCACCATCACCACCACCACCACCAGCAACAGCAGCACCAGGCTTTGCAGACGAACTGGCACATCCCTCAGATGTCGTCTCCTCCCGCCGCGGCCAGGCACAGCCTCTGCCTCCAGCCGGACTCAGGAGGACCCCCAGAGCTGGGCAGCAGCCCCCCCGTGCTGTGTTCGAACTCCTCCAGCCTGGGCACTACCACCCCTACGGGGGCAGCGTGTGCGCCGGGGGACTATGGCAGGCAGGCTCTGTCCCCGGTGGAAACGGAGAAGAGGTCCGGCAAGAGGAAAAGCGACAGCTCAGGTAACGACGGCTTTCCCTGAGGGGTGGGAACCCGGGCGGAGGGTACCGGGGAGCTGCGCTGCCGGGTCCCGGCTGTCCCAGCCCGGCCCGGCCCGGCCCGGCTCGGCTGCTTTCGCCGCGGGGCTGCCACGGGGCTGCCCTCGGCTGCGTTCTCGGGATGTCCGTCATTAAGGGCAACTTTATTAGGGCCACGGGGGGGAGAAATAAAAAGGAAAAATCCAGCACGTGATAGCGCATGAAGTAGTGAAGGTGGCGGCGGCGGCGGGAGGAAAGTTTCCATCCGACGGGGTGAGAGCTGTTCATAGTTTCGGTGAGGATTTTAGGATCTGGCTCCGCGTCCCCCTCCCCCTTGTCGATCCGCCACCTCTGCCCCAAAGTTGGGGACAGGACGCGCTCGGTGCCCCCGCCCTGCCCGCGGGCTGCGGCATTGCGGCACTGTGGAGGGAGATCGCAGCGTGGGGCTGCTCGGGCCGTTCCGAGCCTTTTGCACCCTGTGTGTAGGATCTGGATATGCGTGCCGCTCAGTCCTCGGGAAGGGGCAAAAGCTGGGGTCCGTCAGCCAAACGGGTGAATGAGAGCTTTAGAAAATTGCTGGTGCCGGGGGCAGAGGGAAGGAAGGAGCTGTCTGACTTTTCACAACACCACAACTCTTGCTTATAGATCAGCAGAAAAACATACAGAGCCGCGGTTATTTTAGGAGGGTGATTTGGGAGCTCTGGGCTCACAAAAGCCCAGACATAATTTCTGCTTAAACCGGCGGAGCCTAGCAAGGGCAGCTCTGACTAAAGGCGTGTGGTGCAGGCAATGCAAAGATGGCACACGCAAACCAAAGGGCCGTCAGGGATGCAGCGAGGGGGCAGTGGGCACTTGGAAAGGAGGACGCGGTGCTCCGAGAGCTCCAGAGCAGGCGTCGTAAATTGTTTGTTATCAAGGAAGAGAAAGTGAAAGGCTTTTCCACATAGCTGTGGAGTTCCCAATTGAAACCGTGACCTCTTGCAGTCAGAATGTTGTTGGCTCAGTAGAGTAGTGAGCGATTGGAACCATTTAGGAAAATGACCCTGAAGGATACCATCATTACATTAGTAAATTATTTTTATTTGTCATTCAGGATAGGCTTAGTTGAGTTTTATCTTATGTAGCCGGGCTGAAAAGTCTTCCAAGAATGAAAGCTGTACTTTGTCAAACAGCGGTGGTGAATTCCATCGATGCATCTTCCTTGTACTTTATGAAACAAAAGGAATTGTCAGATTTTTGTGAGGTAGAAGTGCTACAATTTGAGTCCCTGTTACTACTGAAAAATAATTGGATGCCTGTCCTGTTGGTTTTAAGGATTTCTTGTATTTGTCAGCGTACTGAAAGCTGAAGTGAAAAAAGGAAATGGGTCCCTTTCACTGTCAGGGAAGTATCTGTATTGCTTTCTGTTTATTTAATTTTCCGATGCAAACCAAAAAAAAAAAAAAACAAAAAAACAAAACACTGAGGAATGTCACAGATTGTATCCTGAAGGGACTGGAGCCTTCCGTTGGATTTAGTGGACACGGGTGGGAGCCTCGAGTTGTGACTGTGCTTACACTGATCGCGCTGTGCTCCACACATCACTTTCTGAGACTTTCAAAAGACCCAAGCAGGTAACTGCTGGTTGCCTCCTCCTCTCTCTGAGGAAGAAAGCATTTTGTCCATTCACTCAATGAGGAACTTCTAGAACTGAAAATAGGCACCTTCTGACAGCAGCTGGGTAGCTGCAATGTCTTTGGTCTTTCCTGAGGAAAAGCCAGAATTTTGGACAACCATTTAACCCCACCCCTTTATTAATCCTAAACTCTGATGCTACTTAATGCCATCCTAACGTATGGCAGAAGGAACTGTTGTTAACTTGCTGCATTTCTATATCTGTAATCCATAATTGCCTCTCATTAAATTAAAAATCACTCCCTTTATTTCTCATTAATCTGCTTTTTTAAACAAATGGCCATTCTTTAAAGCATTTTATCCCCCCCCTCCCCAATTTTTGGTGACAGATTCATCACACTTGGAACCACTTCAATAGGCGTTTGTATAAAATCCTTTTAGTAAATAACTAAGAAGTAAAGAGAGACTGTTTAAGTTTCACTGCCAGTATTCTGAGACAATTATTAATGCTCCTGCTTATTTACAGATATATTTTCTGCTCTGAAGCATATCACATAAAGCCACAGAATGTTCCGTGTTTTCTTGAGCGCTGAAGCTGTTTTGTACGTCAGATGTGCATTAACCTTAGGCCACCCCTTCCTTGCACTGCACTGCTTTCATCCCTGCGTTACCAGATCAGTAACGATGATTCATAAAACTGAGTTTATAGATAGTTACAAGAAAGTGAAACGTCAGTGGTACTTGTGTCATTTATCTCCCAAACTAGTAATTGTTGCTTAGCCGTGTAGATACTCCAAACAAGTATCTTCTTTACCAGAAGCAGTGCCCATTTTTGCTTACTTGTTATAATGGCAGGAGGGTAATTCTTTCAATTAAGAAGGAACTCCAGAAGGCAGGCAAAATATTGGGCAGTGGGCCGTGTGCTTGTTCCTGTGCTTGCTCTTTTTCTCTGAAATTCACATCTTGCAGAGGAATGGAAGGAGAGAGCCACTGTTTGCGCTATGCTTTGTTACACTTCTGTTTGGAAGCAGAAAGCCAGGTGAAATGTGCTTTGATAGTATTTCCATGTAATCTGCCTGATTTACAGTTCTCTTCTGCCTAACGCAGGTTTTAGAAATACCCTTAGAAGCTATTGACTCGGCTGCTAAAGGACAGGGTGACACTGCCAACTGTTCTTGTTATAGAGGTCTGGGAAACACTGCTTGCTTAGCCATTGACTCATGCACAGTACAGTTGTCAGTGTCTCTGTGTTCTGCAGTCACTCTCACTATCTGAGGACATTCCTTTCAACCTGCATAGGCCCAGCAGTGACTCAGTAGATGTGCAGGCAAGCTGGAGGGATGCCCTCAGGTCTATAGACACAAGATTTCTGCAGTGAGTATTGCCGTCTGCAGCCCTCCTAGCTCAGCTCTGCTTATGGTGAGGATGGTGGAGGAAAGTGGCGATAATAAAACTGAGGATAGGTTGCAAGTAAATTCACTTATTTTAAAGCGCACTAATGGTCAGGATTATCTGTGTGCTAATGAGGTGCAGATGAAAACCATGTTGAGTGTATGAAAAACATATTTTTGGAGCTCTTTCTTGCTTTGTGTTGTGAGTTGTTCTGTATGGTATATTTTGATTTATTATTATTATTTTAATTTCTCCCCTTCTCATTAGCTGCTTGTGACTTTTAAGGCCATTTTCTTTCTGTTTTTTTTTTTTTTTTATTGAGTAGGTTTTGTTTCTGAGAAGATACAGTACATATCAGATAAAAAATTACTACTGTGATTGTGTCAGTTGGCTTAGTTCAGTCCCAGATTTGTTAAAACTTTGCTCAGGACAAAAACCTACGTAGAAGTGAAAACTGACTTTACTGAGAAATGCAAAAAGAAAGTGAACGTATCTTAAGAAAACCTAAAATTCAGTACTGAGCTGCAAAGTTTAGGGGAGCGTGAGTCCTACTAAAGAAGCTCTTCTAGGCATTGCTACTGCTCAAACATGGAATTATGATATATATATAGATATATATGTTAATAGGAAATTCGATTCTAGTGAATGAAAGTTTAACGTAATTAAACACACCTCCAGATATGAGAAGTCTTTTTTTAAAATATTTTTTATTTTTTTATTCTTAATTTGACGTGGAAAAATGTTTCTATATGGCCTAATTTTCCAGTGGAAGGCTAGCAGGTAATAATGTCCATTCACATTTTTACTGCATTTACAATAATGTCATATAGAAACACTACTGTTAAACCTACAAAAACATCTCAGGAATCCAGCGTTTCAGTGGCTGTTCTGCTGGGTTTTGTTCATTGAGAAATCATGCAAAAAGAAAACAGTACTCTTTTCTCCAGTGCCTTAACATCTTTTATAACCTACCTATTCTCAACAAGCATGCAGTAAAAGTAACATCTCCAGAGAATTTATTTTAAACACAACTAAATACCATAAATCATATGCACTTGTTTGAAAGCAGGTCATTTTGATAAATGATTGTAAATACTGTGAAATCATTGGTTTTGAGGACTTCTGATTGGTTTCTGAAACACATCAGTAAGAAAAATGAGCTAAACACTTGTAGTCAAAAAGAACTGTGTAACTGATTCATCAATGTGTCTGTGCTTTTCAACATGGTTGTAAACGGAAGCAGGAAAAATATATAATAAAGCACAGTTTTTCTGAAAAGAGTTAATTTGTTTGGTATCCATTATCAAAGCGTTGCTTACCATTGTACAGGAAAACAACAACAACCGAAAACACATTGTAGATTTCATAAATGAAGCAAGTTCCAAATGTGGTGGACAATAATAATGATCTTAGGAGAAAAAGGGTAAGCCTAATTAATTAGCAAACATTGGGTTACGCTATGGGGTACTTGCTCAATCATTTACCTTACGAAAATTGCTGTACATTCACGTTCTTCTCGAGAAATACAATCTTCAAATTTTTAGATCTGTAAACATTTCAAACACAATTTTACTGGTAAATTTGAAAAAAAAAAAAACAACCCTTTTTCCCATTGCCTGAAACTAATTGTGTCAGGACAGCAATAAGTATGTATTTCTGGCTATTTACTTATATTATTCAGTATGATTTACACTTCCCCCACCCATATAGGCATTGAGGTCTCAATGTAGCTGTTCTCTGGAGCACAAATGTTTTTGTGAGAAGGTCTGTTGACTCCAGTGCAACTCTTTAAGCTCTGGAGGTTTTTTTAAGCCATTGGAGGTTGACTCTGTTACTCTGATCTGAAACTTTTGGCACAGAAATGTAACTTCATGTTATTCTTTTATTATTTGGTATTAAGCACTATCAAGGATCCAGTCTTCAAAGCGAAGTCACAAGGGGTCTGGATGAGTTAGAAACGTGGTGCTGGAATCAAATTG